AGTCAGGCACCACAAGTGAGAAAGCTGGAGGCTAAGACATGTTAATGAGCAAAAAGTTATAAGGATTAATAGGCATATTCAAGAACTATTAACCATCCTCTTGGCCTAATTATTTCCATTTTGATTCAGTTAAAACAAGAAAAATATACAAGTGATTCAAACATCTTCAGATACTGCCAGTAAATTAAAACATTAAACTGAATATAGTTACAGAACTTTTAACTTTGTTTACCAGCTACCAGAATATATGTATTTTAGCATTAAAAAAAACTTATATAACAATTCTATGTAGTTAAAGCTTTTCAAAGACTTCCTTAATGACAATTTAAAAAACCAATACATTTTAATAATAAAAAGTCTTTAATTATATTTGTTTAAGCCTCAAAACATTCAGATTTATAAGATGTACCAAGTGTTGCACTTCTCTCTTATCCTTTATACAAGAGCAATTATATTAAGATTACTCAATCCAGGACACTTTGGCCACATCAAAACAAGTCTTACCTTTGATCATAAAAACAAAATCACATACAATTAACATTGTATATTTTATATTTCTGTGGCTAGATAAACAATATACAACTGTACAGACATTCAGATAAACAGATTTATACAAGGTGGCAAAGACCAACATAGAAAGACACTTGAAAATTGTTTTCCATTCTATGCAGCCACAATTTAAGTCCACAGAATCATGGAATTACAAAAGACCCAAGATCATCTAGTCCAGGCTTGTCCAACACGCGGCCTGCCAAGGCATTTTGTATGGCCCGTGATGCTGTGACAGGAAATGGAAGTAAACATGGTTTACTTTCGTTCCCACCCCTTGTCTCTCCCCCAGCCCCCCAGCAGCTTGACGTTGCCGACACAGTGCGTGTGGGAAGAGGAGTGCAGACCCAGCCCGACTCCTTCCGTCCACAGCACCACGTGTGGAAGCCACCGATCCCGGCCCGGGAGACTCGCCGCTCCCTGCTCCCCGCCTGCAGGTGAGAGGCAGCGCGGCTTGGCCGCCCAGCTCTGGGTCGCTGGTGGAGGCAGAGTGGAGCAGGCAGGTGCCTCCCCCCGCCGGGCCGTTGGCATTGGCTGCACCGTGTGGGGTGGCCTGGGGCTCAGTCAGAGCCTGCGCTCGCTGCGCACCGAGGTGTCGCCTGGCCCCGGCTCCCTCCAGCCTGGCGCAGCAGACCCATGGAGGCGGCTGGGCTTGCCCTCATCATCTGCCTCTGCTGCCTCCTACCCAGCCAGGGCACCACAGGTAGGGCAGGGCTGGTAAGACTGTGCCTCTCCTAGGGCCCGGCCGGTGACTCGGCTAGTGGCACCCATGTGCGTGTGGGAGGCCCCTGCCTTTCACAGTCCTGACCCAGGGTCCCTCACTGCTCCTACCTCCAGACCCGTGCCCCAGTGTGTAGGGCATGGGGAGGTCCCAAATAGCCCCTTGCAGGCTGGAACTCTGCCAGCCCACAAGAGAAAAGCCACAGTTATACGTTTTTCTACTTTAAAGGAGAACCCACTTTTTAAAAGTTTGCTCGGCACACTTTCATATATACTTGAGACCTTCAAATGTCATGTGACATCACTTTCTGATGTGATACGACTTCCTGTGAGGTCTTTGAATACGGCTCGCCGGCCCACTGGGTGATAAAAAGTTCGTGATCTGGCCCCACATTCAAAAAGGTTGGACACCCCTGATCTAGTCCAACCCATTGCCCAGGTACAGGATTCCTCACCTATCTAGTCTTTTCTCAGAAACTTCCCATGAAGACTTCACAACCTGCTTGTTTCATGGTCCTACTTTCTGACACTTAGAAACATTCTGGGGGTAGGAGCTAGATCTAATCTAAATCTGCTGCATCTTAAACCCACTGGCTTTGAGTACTGCCCACTGCAGCAAATGAGAACAGCTGTCCTCCCCTATTCTTCTCAACAATCTTTCAAATATCTGAGAAGTGCAATCACATCCCCCTTAAACTCCTTTTCTCCAGACTACACATACCCAATTATTCACTCAGCCTATCTATATACAACTTGTATTCCAACACCGTTATCAACTCTGTCACTCACCTCTGGAAATGCAGAGCCCAGTACTGCACATGATACCTTCAATTAAAGGTCTAATTAGTATTGAGCAGAGTGGGAATGTCACCCCGATGCACTGAATACATTATTACTACTACTACTACTACTACTACTACAGCTCAAAACTGCATTTGTCTTTTTTGAGACTGCATGATATTGCTGACTCTGGTTGCACTGGTGATCCACCAGTAACCCCAGAACCTTCTCAGCAGTACTACTACTATCTAATCACCATCCTATAATATTCGCACTTGGTTTTTTTTGCCCAGGTGTAGCATTTTACATTTGTCTTAATTGAATTTTATCTTGGAACCAAGTTGTGTTGACTTAGAATAAACATGACGAATTTAGAAAGCAGGATTTTGCCTGGTACATTATTCTTAGATCATTAAAGAAATGGGGAATGCATGCTGCAGTCTATTTATATTGCCAAATCCCCATTAATTGTGAAAATACAATCTAACAACTAATCTCTTGAACAGAAATCCACATGGAAAAATAGTAAACAATGTATGCAACTGCAGTTGCATCTTTAATGCTGTATACTAATTTTTCCTCTTTATCTAATTGTTTGTATTTAAAATTTCTCTGCATCACTTCCTAGCTGAATGGTGAAGCCTTAACATTATAAAGAAGAGAGAGCAGCACTTACGAAGAGGAGACAAGAGTTCTGATCTTTTCTGTACATATTCCATTTCCAGACTGCTGTACCTCTCTTGATCAGCAGGTCGATCCACAGATTTAAGCTGAGAGACATAGCCATCAAGAAAGCAATCTAAAAGTGCCACCAACTGTTCAGCCACAATGCTACGGAGGTTACTGTCCACCTGAGGATACACCACCTTTAGAATTATTCCATGTTGACGTACTATAGCTGTTCGTGTGCCAGCAGGACCACTAGAAGCTTGGAAGAAACAAAAAAACAATATACTTTTAAAAACAGATCTCTTTTATTAAGAAACCAGAAACTTGTATAAAAAATAAAAGTTTAACTTAGAAATGTTTTATTAATTTCAAGATCAAAATGCTGTTGCTGAAGAACTACATCTGTTCTTTTCTTAAATAGTACTAGCATTACTAATTGTACTCCATGAAAACATCCAAAAATTAAAGTACTGATCATCACAACAATGTGTGGGATGGCTGTACAGCTGAACTGTTTAATATTAGGGACGGCTTATACGCATCTGGAAAAGCCTAAAAATTGTGACAAAGGGACTTGCGTGCCTTTCTCTATGGTGTTCTGCTTTCATATTAGTCTGACACTCAGAGAAAACAATAGGAGAAATTCTTGTGACTGGTAAGAGCTAAAATGGAGTGCCCTTGGCCAATGAGAAGTACTGCCCAGGGGAAAAATAAAAATAAAAATCAGATTTTGCTCTGGGAATGCACAAGTACACATTTCTCCAGGTCTTGCAGAAAAGGGCTGACAGAAACACAGCAAGACTTCACCTGGCTGCTGTTTTTCACTCTTTTTCATTCAGTGTACTACGTGACTGAACGTATGAATTCCTATAATAATGTTAAGATCCCAAACAAAACAAAGATGCAAGAGAGAAGTGAATGGAAAGGTATTCCTCTTTCCTAGGACCCCTGCACAGAAACAGAGGGGGCAGTGGGGAAAAGGAGGCAAAAGTATTCACTTGTTAAGAGACAGAAGGGAGTGTCTCCCTAGGGCCCTTCTTTGGAGTTAGGGAAAATAATAAATGTAGGGGTGGCACACCTCCAACTCCAGAGCCATCTATTGGGCCTGGAAAAACAGCACGAGAGTCAGGACTGGAGGAATTTCCAGACTACTCCAGGGGACAAGCAAAGGCTGTAGGACCCTTTGGTTTGCTCATTAGCTTAAGATCCTTTCAGAACTGGAAGGAAAGGGAATGAAGAGTCTTTGCTCTTCCAAACACATCTACAAAGCAGAACTGCACTGGAAGTCTAGTACAGATGGGAAAGGGGGTTCAGAAGCTGCTGCTGGAAAAAGCAAGAACTCGGTCAGGCAAGAGGGATCTGGAGGTGGAAAGTTTATTTGAAGCTGTGTTTGATGTGTGTGTCACACCAGCATGATATACATGCACAGTGAGGGAGAAGGACAAACAGAAAATACAGAAGGAAAGCAAAATTATAACAAGCTACAGAAGTACTCTGGATACAAATGTCACAAACATAAAAGCTCAATGTGTCAGTGCCTGGCAAGAAAACTAACAAAAGTAGTTATTTCTTTAAAGTGTTTCCACTCTTTCCCTTATACTTACTTTTTACCATTAATTATAAGCCTTCCAATATAAAGAGGTTAAGAATTTAGAGGCTAAGAGTGATGGCATACATATACTGCAAAGCAAGGGGATCAAACATACAGTCTACAGACTGGGTCCAGCCCCTGGTGCTGTCCTGTTGACCCACATGCTGTGCTGGACCAGCCCTGTGCTGCCTACTGGGACCGGGTGCTGAGCTACACCACCTGTAGCGCTTGCTCAGGCTAGAGTTCCAGACTGTCCTGGGCAGGTGCTGCATGCCCTAGACCAGGTATGTGGGTAGGGAGTCCAAGGGATTGCTCTGGCCAGGGGGGCACAGATGAGTTTGATACTCCTGCTGTAAAGGAAAAACTTGTTCTGACAAGTTTCTACAGTAGAGTTCCCTCAAACAGCAAAGTACACATTCTTATCATAAAAAGCAAAGGGGAGAGGGGGAAGAAGACTGTCAGTTTTACTCAGTGGCAGAGGTTCACATACTTATTTTAAGAGTAACATTTTGTGTGTCATTGCATATAGTTGCATGAAGACAACCAAATTTTACATGCAAGTTACATACAGAAAACCAAACCCTTTTCAATTAGAAGCCTGACTTATTCATACCAAAACTAGTTCTGCCTCCCAACTTTTACAACTTGTTTTGTAGCCAGATTCTGAGTCTCCAGTGTAAGAGGTTTAAAGAACTATTATCGGTAGTGCAGAAATCAAATCTTCCTCAACAAACTAAAGCAGCAACAAACTACTATTTATGCTAATATAACTTTGTAAGCATCATCCAGTGTAATATTTGCAGTTAGAACTAAAACAAAGACTTTAGAGGATAATGGTCAAGCAGTTTGAAACACATGAACATTACTATTTTTGTATTCTCACCTGTCCATGGAACATATTCAGGTTCCCCTTCTGGGAGGGCTCCCGTTTTATATAAAGAGGCTCGAGAATGGCGATACTGGCTGGCAGCGTGTAGCATATCCTGCATAATGTTAAAGGAACACACCTTAAAATCTTGTCAATTTTAGAAACTGCTTAGGTGACAAAGTAATTCTTCAAGAATTTCTCTGAGTTTTATTTTTTTCCCCTTCCTCACTCCTGTGCACAACCCAATCTGGAGGCAGGAGAAAACACTCAGGCCTAGCAAGGTGCATAAATGTGCAAGTGCTGCAGGACTAAGCTTTCTATGCACACTTGCTGTCACTAGTTTCTTTGCCATGCCACTACTTGCCCAATTCTTTTACAGACTGACTCAGAAAAGTCATCACATGCTCCCAAAATTGGACCAGCCTTTTGTACCTAAGAATTTGCTTCTATACATCTGCTATATACCCATGCCAGTTAGAAAATGTTAAAAAAGCTTTTATCCAGCATAAAATTTCCAAGAATGGAGAGGGAAAATGATAACATCAAAACAGGATGATATTAAAACTGTTTGATAATGTCAAACAGAGGGTGATATTCCCTGACCAGAGGCCCACAGAACAGGGGGAAGGTAATGTTCTGGGCTGATTTCATGTAGGCTAAGTGAGGGATCTTCTACAACACTTGGACGTTTTCTGCTGGGCCTGACAACATGCACCTGACAGTCCTGGCTAAACTTATAGCAGCACCACTGGCTAAGCTTTTTGAAGAGTTGTGGAACTTGGGAGTGGTCCCAGATAACTGGAAGAGGGCCAATGTGGTGCCCATCTTTAAGAAAGGGAAGAGGGGTGACCCCGCAAGCTACAGACTGGTCAGTCTGACCTCGATCCTGGGTAAAATATTTGAAAAGTTGGTTAAGGAGGCCATCAAATACAATCTGGCGACGGATGGCGTGCTAAAAAGCAACCAGCACAGCTTTGTTGAGGGTAGATCATGCCTGACAAAACTTGTGTCCTTCTACGACCAGGTAACCAGCCATCTGGACAAGGGACACGAGGTTGATGTCATTACTTAGATTTCACTAAAGCCTTTGATTTGGTTTCCCATTGGATTCTAACAAACTGGAAAGTACTGGGCTGGACAACTGGCTTAGAAGCCACTCCCAGAAAGTGGTGATTGATAGGAGGGCCTCATCCTGGAGAGCCGTCTCCAGTAGTGTTTCCCAGGGATCAGTGCTTGGGCCCATGCTATTCAATATATTCATTAACAACTTGCATGAGGGGGCGGAAAGCACAATGATTAAGTTTGCAGATGATACCAAGCTGTGGGGAAATGCAGGCAGACCAGAGGACAGGGCAAATATCCAGGATGACTTTGACAGACTGGACTTATGGATGGAACGAAATCATGTGAGGTTTAACAAGAAGTGCAAGGTCCTTCACCTGAGTACGAAGAACCCCCACTACAAATATACAATGGGTGGTGGGGGCCAATGGCTGGCACAGCATCTGAACGAGACCTGGGGGTCACAGTCAACTGGAAGATGAATATGAGCCAGAGTGACGAGGCTGCCAAAAGGGCAAATAAAACTCTGGCATGCATCAGCTGCTGTGTGGCCAATAGATCCAGAGAGGTACTCCTTCTCTATTCAGCATTGGCGAGTACTCAGCTGGAGCACCGTGCCCAATTCTGGGCACCGCACTTCAAAAAGGATGTGGATAAGCTCGAGAGTGTACAAAGAAGGGCCACCTGTTTGGTTAAGGGCATGGAGGGTAGAGGCCCTATGAGGAAAGATTCTGGGAACTGGGCTTGTTCAGCCTGAGAAAGAGAAGGCTGAAGGGTGACTTGATAGCTACCTATAAGTACATCAGGAGTACTAGGATAGTAACTATTCAGGAGGGCACCACAAGGATGATGACCAACGGGCATAAACTAATCTAGGGTAAATTCAGGTTGGATACAAGGAAACATTCTTCTCTATAAGGGTCACTAGAATCTGGAACACACTCCCAGCACAGGTGGTGCAGTCACCCTCCTTGGAGGTGTTCAAGATGAGCTTGACATGGTGCCTGTCCAGTCTCATCTGAGCCCAGTAACTTCTGGACTTGATGATCTGACAGGTCCCTTCCGGTTCTATGTTTCTATGAATAACTCCATGCAAAATAGTCAAGGCCGGATACTGGTATCACAATAGCACAGGCTGGATCAAAAACGAACAAAGCTGTTTCAGATGTTTTCCCTGTTTTGCCACAAGGTCAAGTTCAAAAAATATATTATCCCTCAAGAGAAGAGAAATTATTAAGTACTACACATAAGGCATACAGAGCACAAAAGGCATCAAGTGATTGTTGCATTTCCCCCTGTAGTTTACAAACCTTGCTGTGCTTGGATTCTAAAAGAATGAAAAAGGCACTTGACTGATTCTTGCTCAAATCTGTGTATTGTTTCATATTAATTACTAGTCAAAAGGAGAAACTAGCTAGCGTGTCTCTGAGAACTGATTACCAAATAAAGCCACAGCCAACCATATATCCAATGGAGTTCAAAGCCACTAACACGTCTTTGGGTCTTGGAGGAAATGCAAAATATTCTTGTGTTATAAGTACATGAAACTGTCCAGTTATTTTAGTAGCAGCTATACTCAATAAACAATTATGACATTTCTTGACATTTCAGGAGGTCATCTAGTCCAACACCCTGCTCAAAGCAGGACCATCCTAAACATACAATCCCAGCCAAGCCTTTGTCTAGCCAGGTCTTAAAAACTTCCAAGGATGGAGTTTTCACCACCTCTCTGGGTAACCTGTTCTAGTGCTTTACTAATTCCCTAGTGAGAAAGTTCTTCTTAATATGCAACCTAAATTTCCCTTGCTGCAACCCCAGACCATTGCGCCTCGTTCTGTCATTTGGCACCACTGAGAACAGTCTAACTCCATCCTCTTTCTGACCACCCTTCACGTAGTGGAAGGCTGTTATTAAATCCCCTCAGTCCTCTCTTCTCCAGACTAAATAAGCCCAGTTCCCTCAGCCTCTTAGACGTCATATGCTCCAGCCCCCTCACCATTTTTGATGCCCTCTGCTGGACTCTCTCCAATTTGTCCACATCCTTTCTATAGTGGGGAGCCCAAAACCAGCCATGGTACTCCAGATGTGGCCTCATCAGTACCGAATAGAGAGGAATAGTCATTTCCCTTGATCTGCTAGCAACGGTCCTACTCATGCAGCCCAGTATGCCAGTAGCCTTCTTCACAATGAGGGTATGCTATTAGCTTATTCAACTTATTGTCCCCCTAGGTCAATTTTTGCAGGAGTTGCTGTTTAGCCAGTCAGTCCCAAGCCTGCACCAGTGCATGAGATTGTTCCATCCTAAGTGCAGGACTTTGCATTTGTCCTTACTGAACTTCATGAGATTTCTTTTGGTCCAATCCTTCAATTTGTCTAGGTCTCTCCGAATCCTAGCCCTACCCTCCAGTGTGTCTACTACTCCCCGCAACTTGGTACTATCCACAAACTTACTTAGGGTACACTCCATTCCATCTTTTAGATTGCTGATGAAGATACTGAACACAACTGGCCCCAGAACTGACCCCTAGGGCACTCCATTTGATACTGGCTGCTAACTAGACATCAAGCCGTTGATTACTACCTTTTGAACCCAATGATCCAGCCAGTTTTCTATCCACCGTATAGTCCATTCATCCTAACTAGACTTCCTTTGCTTGCTTGCATGAATGTTGTGGGAGACCGTATCAAAAGCCTTGCTAAAGTCAAGGTATATCAACATCCAACACTGTCCCCACATCCACAGAGCCAGTCATCTAGTCATAGAAGGCAACCAGGTTGGTCAGGCATAATTCACCCTTGGTGAATCCACGTTGACTGTTCCTAATCACCTTCTACTCCAATTGTTTAGAAATAGATTCCTTGAGGACCTGCTCCATGGTTTTTCTAGGGACTGAGATGAGGCTGACTGGACTGCAGTTCTCTGGACCCTCCTTCTTCCCTTTGTTAAAGATGGGTACTATATTTGTCCTTTTCTAGTTGTCCAGGATCTCTTCCAATTGCCGTAAGTTTTCAAAGATAATGGCCAGTGGCTCTGCAATCACAGCTGCCAACCCCCTCAGCACTCTTACTTGCATTGCATCCAGGCCCACAGACTTGTACATGTACTGCTTTTCTAAAGAGTCCCTAACCCGTTCTTACACCACTGTTGGCTGCTCACCTTCTCCCCAAACTGTGCAGCCAGGTGCAGTAGTCTGGGAGCTGACCTTGCCTGTGAAGACTGAGGTAAAAAAGGCATCAAGTACTTCAGCCTTTTCCACATCACCTATCACTAAGTTGTCTCCACCATTCAGTAAGGGACCCACATTTTCCCTTATCTTCCTGTTGCTGACCTCAGTTTGCTGAACTCCTGTCTTGATTCCCACCTACTAAGCCCAATATTTTATTTAATACAGATATGATACCTTTATTATGCTGTTCACGTTGACAACTATCTGGGCCCACTCAACTGATTCAATTGGCGTAGCCTTCAAGATTTGTTCTTCCTGTTCTAGTAAGCATTCAAAGATTGTGTTTATCTGGGATACCTAAAAGAAAAAAAAACACTTGCTCTAAGCACAAATCTATCAATCAACAAATAGCAGCCACATGAAAATGTTATTAGGGTCTTAATTAACAGCCCACTAGCATAGAATATACAAAACATTTAAACTGGTTATTTTCATTATCCATAATTTCAGACAATTTTTTCAGAAGAAAAACACAATCTCACATATGGACATACACTAATCTGACTATGTACTGTTGACTTCAGGACTGTCCAACTGTTGGGCTTCTTCAACCTTCTTCTAAAACTTCTGGTAGTGAACTCCATCAGAGAGGCAATACTGGATTATGCAGACCACTGTTATATTCAGGTACCTCGTCCCCACTGATAATGTTATATTGACCTCCGTAGGTGTGTCAGTCACTAGCTCTTCATACTCTGTATATAATTTATCTATAGTTTTTTCCTGTACACTAATATGATGAAAGATCAGTGCAAAATGACTCTGAACTTTGCAACTGAAATGTACCACAACTGAGTCTGTAAACAGATGTTGTATTTCACCTAAAAGAAAGCCTTTTGTGCTGGGATCCTACAGAGGCTCCTGCATATTGTCCTGCTTCAAGTACCTATGCAGTATACAAGAATGTTAGATAAAATGTGTTAACAGCCATCCCCTCCTGCCCCCCACACCCTCCTCTGTCCTCTGTGCACTTCTAAGTTAAGTTATGGCTCATCTAGCTTAGGCTTCATACAGGCATTCAGTTTCTCCTGGGAGAGTCGCTGCTATCCCAGGAGAAACCATAAATCTAAGGATGTTCAGGCTTTTTCTCTCAGAGTAAAAATGACCACTCCAGGAGAAAAGTAACCTGGTAAAAACCAGCCTTCAAGTCACTCCCAGGGCAGAGCTAATGTCTGTAATATGCTGTAGCTTTTCTCAGAAGAGAATTCAGTTCTCCAGCATCCCCCACCTCCCAAGTGAGGCAGCATGTTGCTCGCTCCACTGCTCCAGCAGAGAGCAGAACACACACCCCTTCTCATTTTCCCACACTGTGCTGCAGGGAAACACAAGCTGACCACTGGCAATCAGTCTGCCCATCAGGGCTGCCCTATGCACTACTGTCATCTGTTGCCAAGCAAACTAAGGGGCCTTACAGAGCAAGCTGAAACGTTTGCCCTTGGCTGCACAGTGTCAGCACTGCAACCTTTCCACTCTTTAGGGACTTGGCATTCAAATCTCTGTACATATGGCTCTGGGTAAGTTTTTCTACCAGGAAAACAAACCCAGGAGAATTCTCCTAGGCTATTTGAATATGTATATGCAGCCCTAATTTCTGTTCATTCCAGGAACAATCCTGTCAGGCTGTGCATTCTCTTTGGCCACCTACTGGCAGAGGAACAAGGCAGCTTGGAAGAGCTACACACGTAATGGGCTTTGCAGCTGCTGTCTGCATGCGAGTCAAAAGCTGGGACAATAAAAACCACTTCAGCTGAGACTTCTGTTTACAGTCAGAATGTTTGCCTTAAATTGTAACTAATAATCCAAAATGTTTACCTTACAACCGTAACTGATCACCTGGACTACAAACCAATGCCTTACATGAGGAGTCCCAACTGTCCTGGGTTTTGACCCAGATCAAAATACAAGTGGCAGAGGAACATATTTAGTCTGTTTTGATCACCAAGAAATCATTAATGTCCTTCAGCTCACCCATTAACATAATAATCCCAGCAAACAATTGTCTGGTAAGTAGGAAAATATGCTGGTCTTTTCTACCTTTCTGCAGCTGATCTGTTCAAGATCATAATTCTAATTTAACTATATGAGGTCAGTCAAGATTTCACATTTAGCTGCAAAATTAAGAAAAAAACCATAAAAATCTTCCCTTAAGAAGGGAAATGTGGAAGGTCAAAATTTATTTCTGAAAGAGAAAAAATCTTTACGATACAGGGATTCATGAGGGGAAAAAAAAAGGGTCCCAGTTAATTAAGTGTACTTTGTCTTACCTCTCTGAAGAAAACATCAGCAGGAGTAAGACTCTGCGGAATGTCACAATCTCTTTTATTTAGAGCAATCAATATGGCAGCATTCACAAGATCTGGCAGCCTGGAGTGATGGTTCTTGAGAACAATGGCTGCTGCTAACTTTTCTGCATGTTCACAGAGCAACAGTCGAGTTGCTACTGGCTTCCCTCTCACTGGAAAACTCCCCAGCTGTTCAAATAAGCCAACCTTTGAGGAAGGGAGGGAGAGAAAACATTGTATAGAATGTTCAAAAAAGTTACAGACATAACAGCAATATTTGTGTCAATAGCATTCTAAGACTTTACCTGATGAAGGAAGTCAATGAAGAAGGAATGGGCTTTTGTTTTATCCTCCAGCTGATGAAGGAGAATAAGGGATGTGTTGCTCAAACCAGCTGCTTCTGAAAGGGTACAGGTTAAGATAAAATCATGAGATAAAAGCCCTTTTAAAGATCTTGTTCTGAATTTTAAATCTTAAGTTTTGCAGCTTCTCTCTCTCTCTCCAATTATTACAAACAAGAACATCCCTTTGACAAATAGCTTATTAGGTATCATCCAAACTAATACATAGGACATAACATTTTTTGGACACTTCAGACTATTTTGATTGAGTCTTAAGAGTGAAAAAAAAAAAGCAGCTATTTTTAATATAAATGAAAAAACATGAAAAAATACAGAATTAAAATATCTGTCAGCCTCCTGATCACTGTCTTTTGAACCTGAAAGCTCTTTACAACAGAATCTTGCCATTAATCTGTAAAGTGCCTAACACAATGGAGCCCTTACTTTTATTGTGACCTTTGAACACTACCATAACTAATTCTTTTAAAAGAAAGATAATATTTTGTGGCTTATGAGTTCCCTACGAAGTTTGGAACTTTTAAAATCTTTTCACTTTTTACAATAGTGAACCTGCAGTGAAGATGAGTATTTATTAGAAATGTGTTTAACACACTTATTAAAACCTAATCTACCTCCATCATACTGTACAAGTTACAAACATTATGAACATCCTGGCTTAGTAAAAGTAGAAAGAAATTGGTCCTTCCCCTGAAGGAGAAATCTGGCCCCAGAGGTGGCTATGTAATGCTGTTTTAAGTCTCACACACTTGTACATCCTCACTTCTGTTGCATTGGCTTGAGACACAGGGGCTTGATAACCTTTCTACACAAAGGAGTCAGGTCCTATGGAATCAGTGAATGCAGTAGAGGTTCTCAGGAATATCTGTGTGTTTGACAACCCACTGGGACTCTACCATACACCTACATACTTCCTCATAACTGTCACAGCTTCTGACTGCACTCGATAATAGACTACCAAGATGTGAATCTCCAGAACAGCTGCATTTGCAGTTTCCCTTTTTGGTGACATGGACAAGTTCGTATTTTTACTTTTAAAGTTTTTCTTATTATTTTAATATACTTTTAATCTATCAATCAGTCTTTGCACTAACAGAAAAGTACTGCAGAATACACTTCTCGATAAAATGAATGAAGATTCAGAATACATTATAAATATTTGCATTAGGGATTTCACAGTGGCTAACAGGCTACCAGACAGAAAAGACAGCCCCAAACCAGATAATTTATACATATATGCTACCTATAAAACTTCCATTCATGTCCCTGTTCAGCACTGGGCTTAGAGGTCTAGGGAGGACTCTGAATTCCTTTGAAATGACTGGTAGTTTCTAAGGAAGTATGATTTGGTTGAGAAAGTTACCCAAATTCCTCTAGTAAGAACTGAGAAGGCAAGACCTTTGTATAAAGCTCCTTCTTTCAAAACAGCTAGTATAACAATACAAAGATAACCTTTTTGGGGTTTTTTGTTGTTCTCCCGCCCTGGCGGGGGGGCGGGCTAGAAGATCTACTAGGTCCCTTCCGACCCTTAATCTATGAATCTATGAATAAACAGCAGCACTAAAAAGAGATGAAGAAGCTATTCAGGGTAGAGACTGCCAGGTAAAATACAAAGTAGTCAATGGAAAAATTTTTAATTCCCTTGAAATTCTACTTCAGAAAGTAGGGATGGAAATGAAGAGAGTAGAAGGCAGTGAATAAGTAGTGTGGGGGTGCTGGTGATTATGTAGGCAGGGACGAGGAAGGAGAATCAAGAGGATAACTGGTAGGGAAAGATATATCAAACAACTTTCAGCAGAATTATGTAGATGTAAGCAACACACAGGACTACACTCCATGAAGTAAAGATCATAGAACCACAGAAGTAGGGTCGGAAGGGACCTTGTAGATCTTCAAGTCCGACCCCCTACCTGAGCAGGAGAAAAAACTGGGCCCAAATGATTCCAGCTAGGTAGGCATCAAGCCTCCTCTTAAAGACCCCCAGGGTAGGAGCCAGCACCACTTCCCTTGGAAGTTGGTTCCAGATCCTAGCCGCCCTAACTGTGAAGTAGTTCTTAAGGATGTCAAGATGATCTGCTTTATCTTGGACTTTGCTACACAAAACCCCAAATAAAATTTATCCTCACCTTCAGGTACAGATTCAGCCCATCTTGGGTCAGAAGCAGGGTAGTCATCTACCAAGTCCACACTGATTTGAGTCACTGCTCTATCCAGTTCAGCATCAGGATCCAGGTCTGCATTGGGTGGGAAAAGCTCAACTACCATGCTTTGTGCATTGATTATATCTTTTCTGAAAGAAACAATGAATGCAGGATGTGAACTAAATGAAACCATAAAGTAGAGGGGGGGGGGGAAAAAAAAAAACAACTTTAAAAAGTTTTTTTTATAATTTTTTGTGAAATTCTGTTGGTATCTACCACTATACCTGCCTGTTTTTCATTTAATTATTTGAAAAGCTTCATACTACCCTCCCATGCCAAGCAGGAAGCAGCAGATGGATACAGTCACTTTTGCTTAAAAACCTTCAGGTTTAGTTGTGCATGCTGAAGGCTTCTCTAGTAGGCAAACTAGAAGTAGCATTCAGCACATAAATTCTCATGTTAATGGGGGAAAAGTATGAGCTGAATGTTCCTTTTAGTTTTCCTTTTAGTTTGAAACCTACTATTCAATAGAGTCCTGACTAGATTACACGCAGATGGACTTGCATAATTCTTTTTATCCTGTTGTTAGTTTTGTAAGAGTAGCAGAGATAGGCAGTTGTTCTAGGACTCTGTACAGTCCTTTGATCAATTCTCTGGTCAGCTGGGGAAACATCAAGCATATTTGGAAACATATAGTTTCCAAACTATAACTCACCTTTATTGAAGCTTGCAAAATTAAAATGTAATTTTCCCTAAGTCCTTTTTCTATATAATTCTAAGAACTTACTCTAAGAGACTATTTTTACATATATGCATACTTGTTTAAACTCATTTAAAAACAAACTCAAATCTACAGCTCTAAGTACATTTGCACTGATTACCAAGCAAATCTACTTTACTACCTTCATGTTTGGTTCATGCCACTTTTTCTTTTATCTCCGACAGTTTTTGTCTTACATTTAGATGACACACTTATCAAGGCAGGCATTGTTTCAAGAAGTGCTATGTATACTAATGGCACTCTTAGAAGAAAAAAAAAAAGAAGAAACAGACCTAGCACATTTAAATCAATTCCGTTTTTAATTATAGAATCCCTTAATGAAAAACAAACTTGTCCTCTACTTATAGCTTGACCAGTGGTGACCAACCTGCAGTACAGGTGCCACAAGTGGCAGAGGCAGCCTGTGTGTGTGGCACACAGAAGATCATGGTGGAAGCAGGCAGCCTAGTGACAGGTAGGGCATGGAGCAAAAAGCAGAGCCATAGATTAAGCAGGGAGCACAGGGATGAATCAGGCAAGGGAAGAGGATCAGAGTGGCACTTTGGAAGGGCAGAAGGCTTAATTTGTGGCATGCCTCCTAGAAAAGGTAGATCTACACTGAGTTAGACGGTGACCTCTTATATGTGTTTTGTACCTGCAGTATTGCAGAAAAGCAGCTTTCAGTAACTTAGTCTTATCCTCTTGTGCTATGATTTCTGTTCTTGCAGTTGTATCAAATGCAGGACTCTGAAACAAAAGTAAAAATTTCCACTGAGGGACAAACAGACAAAAGAAAAAACTCATTGTGAAATTACAATAAAATCTCTCTAAAGTAATAATTTAGGAATTAAGATTCCAGTAGAAATGCCAACCACTAAATGGCTATGTTTTCTAAAGTAAACATAAAAAAGCACAAATCATACATTACCATAAAAGAAACATAATGCTTCGACTTCAGTGCAGTTTGGAAATTAACAGTTTACTTAGTTTGCCCTGAAACTTATTCTAAGCTTCATTTTTGTGTAAAATGTCAACATGAGATAGGGTAGAGTTTAGCACTGGGAGGCAACAGTGTCAACAGAATTTCAAAGTAACAAAAACTTACTCCTATGGCATGCTGGAGCATGTTCTCTACCTACAAAAAGACTGGGGACAAAAATAATTGGTTCTGTTCAGCAGAAGTATAAATTGATCTAATCAAAGATGGACACAACTCACCCTCTAAGTGCTAGCAACAAATAATCAGACAGAATGAAGTAAACATAATAAGAACCAATCCTTTCAGCATTAGCCTTCAAAGGATTTGATTCAACTCTTGTGTAATCTCTGTTTTCACTCTAAATGCATTCTGGACAAAAATTCTAAATTTACTGTATGAATTTTTGTTTTGATACTGATAATATATAAGGTCTTAGAAATATACACTGTGTACGTCAAATATAGATACTAAAAATGGTCTCTCTCTAGACAGGAGTTTGTTATGATAAAAGTGTATAATAAAGTACACCGCTATTATATGGCATTTTTCATTCATGAATCTCAAAGACTTCACAAATAAGGTCAAAATCATTATTCCCATTTTCCAGATGAGTGGGCCAAGACACAAAAGCAGTATGCTGACATCATAAAATGCAGTCCCATAAAGACAGTGGAAGTTAACAAGCCAGGGCCATGCAGATACCAGAGCCAGCTCTATACACAATGACTCTGGAACTTGGTGCACAACAGCCACATTTGTATGGCACATTCTAGTTTGAGAAATCTTGATTGCCAACAGAGCTAGTGAGACCAGGCACAATGCCACACTGATGTGGCTATCATCAACTAGTACATGCAGAACTAGCTCAAATATTACTATATCAGTATTTGACAATCTTTTCAGCTTGCAAGCCAAAATGACTCAGCTCTGGTCAGAAATGGATGGGTTGGCAGGTGCTAGGATCAGGCGTCATTGCTGCTTCTCCCTGTGGTGGCAGGGAGAAAGTTCCTGCAGCTGAAGTCCCACATCTATAGGTTGGATTTGGCCCATAAGTCATAAATCACCGACTCCTGCTATATATGGAGCTGTCTTGTTCCATACAGACATATTCAAAAGGGCAACGTCACTTAGCAGGACAGTGCAAGAGCTTGGAAGAGAACCCACATCCAAGAAACAGCATGCTGTTAAAATGAGTAGAGCCAGCTGACGATTAAAAAATTTATATATATAAAAAATAAATTGTATTTACACACAGAGAATAACCTCACAAGTATGGATATAAAAAATCCGGAATATTGAAAATCTGGCACTTTTTAAAACTACGCTCCATCAGGGAGTAGTGGTGGCCAGTTCCAGAGCAGCAGAAGAGGAAGCTTGCACGCAGGGGCTGCCGCTGCCGTCCACCGCTCTGGGACCAGCCACCTGGCTCCAGCCCCCTGCCCCTGCCCCGGGACCAGCTGCCGCTCTGGTTTCAAATATCTTGAATTTTCACATTTCTGGTAAGTGCGCAGTTCTGAGCATGCCAGATTTGAGGTTATACTCTGTGTGTGTGTGTGTGTGTGTGTGTGTGTGTGTGTGTGTGTGTGTGTGTACACACACACACACACTTAATATATTATATAATTAATATACTATATAACATATATTAATATACAGTATATTAATTGCACACATACACACATTAATTACTGTATATATAGATTTTTGTTTTAATTTCTCATTGTGAACATTTTCTTCTCCTTGGAAATTATTTTTTAAAACAATGTTTGGTTTTCAGTTAAATCTCTGCCAAAATAAATTTCCCATGAATAGAAATGTGAAAATGAGTAAACGGATGGCAAATTTTCTATTTTGCCTTAAGAGACTTTGAATTTTCAGACTAAATACCTCATTGTTTGGCCCTGCTACAGAAGATGATAGGGAATCCTCAAGGTCTTCAGGAAGCACAGAAGCATTTTCCCTAGAAAAGATAGTCACAAGCCCACTTTTTCTAGTGAAAAAGATGGGGAGTCCAGTACAGGAGCCTGCTCCTAAAATGCTATCTCCTAAGGGGAGATAAAACAAAACATTTAATAATCATACGATGTTGTATTTATTATCCTGGTCTTATTAGATATGTATTATAGGACTATTACAATATACTCTCTAATTTTCATGTTTAGGCTTTCTCCTGTCAAATTAGTTGCAATCCCACTTTTAGTCAAATCCCTTATTTATTATGGACCAAACAAGAAGAGATGCCTGCATATACATGATTGCTGACAAAAATTACTCCTTTTAATATACCTGCAAGTTAAGCTTTATCCCTACAATGTCTGCTAGTTAGTTCTACAGATGGGGAAAGTGCAAAATAATAAAAGTAAGTAGGTGATGGTCATAAAAAAAAAAAAGATCAATGGCAAAAACTGAGATTAAAAAACTCAGGATTTCTGGACCCCTTAACCTTTTTTCATCCTTTTTGATTATGCTGTTCTCAATATTTAATTTTGAGGAAACTGGATCAAATGAAGAAACTAAATGCCAAAACACACAGTTGAATCTAAACACAGGAGGTGGAAATAAACAGCAAAGTTCTGTCAATAACATTTATTTATTGAGTACATACAATACTGCCTTCCAATTAAAATATTACCTGGTGCACTGAATAGGATTTTTTCATGTGGAAAAGAAATTCTTCCAGTTCCAGTTGAGCAAGCAAAGACTTCATCTTCAGTATACATGTAGGCAGCATGGCTTAAGTAGTCTGGGACCACCAAACAGCATATCAGTTCTTCAGACTGAAAATGCCCCAGATGAATAATGCCATAAGAAATCAAATTACATTTTCTATATAGATAGCTGAAAAATTCCTTTTTTCTTACTCTGAACATGCGTATCATTTGCGTATCAGTGGGAGCAAAAATTTTATTTACAATTTGCCCTGAATATTCAATATCTGTTTTAGGCATCTATTGAAACTTAATATTTTCACAAGAAAAAGGTAGAAGACAACCAATCAACCAATTATTCCAACAGCTTTGTACTGTCCTCCCATTTTACAATCCCATCTAAAAATTGGCCCGCAGAAAAAGTGCCAACCATATAAGGCCAGTTAAGTTAAAAACTCCAAGAACAGATGGGACAATTCAGATGGTTCAGAGAAGGTAAGCGTCTCAGGTGGCCAGAAGGGAGACAGAAACAGACTGCAGGTCTCTATGAGTGTGCACTCCCTTCCCATCTACTCAGAGTGTATTTTAGGGCTATGCAAAGCTTTGGTAGCCAATTCAATTTGGAGGAGATTTGCCCCGATTCAAGAACCGAATCTCCGAATCAAATCGGGAGACCAAAGTAAAAGGTCCGAATCGATTCAAAGCATCCAAATCAATTTGAAAAAGCTTCAGAAAAGATTCAGCCGATTTGGAGATTTGGCCATAGACTAAACAGGCAACTGACAGCTGCCTCCAACTGGTAAATCTGTTGGGGGAGCAGGGAGGAAAGGTGTCTGGGGAAGGGAGAGATTGAGGCTGGGAAAAGCTGCCCTGTGCTACGCAAGAAGGGCTCTGCCATGAGCCCCCAGAACCCCTGATCCCTGCTGCCACAGCCGGTGAGCGTGGGTTTTTTTTTGGTTTTATGGTGTGTTTTTTTTTTTTTTTTTTTTTTTTTTTTTTAAGGGCCAGGG